TTCATATTTTGATGGTGGTATTACCGAACAGATATAAATAAGATGTGACCATCATCCTTCTTTGTTAAAGTTTCAAATCAAGCAAATAGATCCACCATGTTACTGGAAAAAAGAGCATAAGAGACTTGTACCATAAATTATATTTCCATTCTTGTTCTGTACCAGAAACTGTTACAGCCACAGCAGCAATTTACTTTAAGAATACTCTCACTCAAGGAAAAACAGCTTCTTCCAGTGGGTAACATAAAGTCATCTCCTACTGTATGGGTATTGCCAGAAAGACTCTACATTTATTTCACCTTTATATGAAGGTGTTTTGGTCCAGAGGTAGGGTAGGGGACTCAAATGGAACAAAAAATTGGTTTGTCTTTGTGTTGTACATTTAGTGAGTATTTTTACTACTTTAGTCGCTTTCATCTATATAAATAAAGCTTCTCCTTTTTTATCTAAATCTTACTTATCCCCAGGGCCTCTCTGCAAATGCAGTGACACTTCAGGAAAGGGTAATTGAACCTGAAGCACTTTTAGAGCAAAGTGCCATTTTTTAAAGGGTGTAATGAAACATACTGCAAAGGCAGGTTTTTTAAATTTACTATATGGAAACTGATTGCCTGTAGGAATGAGTAACCTGATTATTTAGGACTATATCATATTGGCTGTCACTTCTTTAACCCTCTAGGCAACAGCTTTCCAGTGTAGACTTTGGTTTCTTGTGGCCGTAAAACCCCTGATATTCAACAAGAGAACATTCTGAGCAGCTTCAAGAAAAAGAAAATAAATGGAGTGCACAAAAAAAAAAAAATATCACAAGTATGTTTCTTGTTCCATAGCAAGATCAGCAGGTACCAGATCTTCTCCAGAGATGTCCACTGCAAATGCATGTGAGCCTGAGCCTCTGGTCAGCTCTCCCCAAGTGTTCCCCTCACACGCCAGGCAACAAGATAAGGAAATGTAGTTGCAGAGTAGACATCTTTCAGAGAAGAAATAACTTTCAGAATTTTAACAGGCTTTTTTTGGTTTATATGTTTTCATTTTTCTGTTTTCATAGAGCATTATCTTTTCACAGAAGCAGTCTTTGATAGCTGTTTTAACCATTCAGGATTTTATTCTAGAGTCAGATAATTGTTTTCTTACTAGCCACAGAAGTCAACAGTGATTAGCAAAAATAAGATACCAACAACAAAATTATGCCCATTAAAAACCAACAGGCTCATTAACTAAAATGCTTCCATTTAATCAAACTTCTTTTCTGTTACTTCTGCTCGCTCCTGAAGTCTTTGGAATATAGGTCATTTTTTTTGCAGTTGTAGATCTGTAGCAACATTAGATACTCCAATTAGTGAGGTAAAAAATTGACAGGTATTCGGATTTTTTTTAAGGGGGCCACTATTGTTCTTTTCCTGCTAAATGAAAGTGCATATATATTGAGTTCCACTTCTTCAGGGAGAACTTTTAAAAGTCTTTAAATGTTATTTAAGAAATTAAAACAGACAGCAGCAACCTTTAAATTTCAAAGGTGAATGGCCAGAAATAATAATGCTTTCTTAACATAAACTGTGTTTTTATTCCTTTTAAAAATGAAATTTGGACAATAAGGAGGTCAGTAAGTATATAATACTTTATTTACACTAGAAGAGTAGCCGGTACATTACCAGTGTCTGACTATCATAAACCAAAACTGGGAAGAAATCTGCATTACAAAATATTAAACACTCATTGACAGCTCTGATGTAATTGAAAGGGCAAATTCACTCTTTGGTTTTGGGAAATATAGTTGATTTCACTAAAGGAGTAGCTGAAATGAGGAAATTAGTAGGCCAGTAACACCTGTACCCAGAGGAGCAAGTGAAAATCATCAGAAGATAAGAGGAAGGAAATAAGCACCCTCTCCAACCTGCATTTGAGCCCATTCACAGTTCAACATGATGCCAGCCTGTGATAACACTGTGCCTACAGAGCTTCTCTATACTAAATATCAGTAGCATTGTAGTTTTCCACCCATCCAACATTTAAGAAGAGTTCAGCTTCTCTACCATGGCCAGCAGACTGCATTCTCCTTTACCCAGGCAGACTTCCTGACCTGCCAGAGAAAAGAATTCCCATGTGGGTGGACAGTATGTGGTCCTTTCCATGTTGGGTAAGATTCCAATTTTGCAAGTTTCTGCTAATAGAATGGGGGTTTAACTTATTACTCACATACTTCCTGTGTTAGGGCTAAAAGTGTGGTATGAAGGTTTTGGAAACAGTAAACTGAAAATGTAGTATTGGCACACCATTCCATACATGTAGCTAATATGTTACCATATTGCTCCAAAATTCATTTGGCACTTGGACGATTACACATGCCTATGAAAAGAAAAATCCAAACATTTTTTTCTGTGCTTGTATCGAATGGTATCACTATTGTGTATTTGGAATTCTATACTATACTAATAGACATATTAATCAAGATGCAGAAGAGAAATAAAAACCTCTGTATTAGTTTCACTGGGGAGTCTTGTCATTTAAAGTTCATCCTAACCAAATGATATGAAGAAACTATTTAAGGAGAAACTGAACTTTAGTAAGTTATCTATAAGAAATAAGACCAAAGAAATCAAAACATGTGCTTTTTACTGAATTCTTGTTCTGCTCTAAAAGGCATATCTGTGAAGCCTTTGCTTGGAAGGAAAATGTTACTGTCACTCTAAAAACTCTTTAATAAAAGAAAATCTTTGATGTGTCTTAATAGAGATTAACATTTTTTTTCAGTTCCCTTTTACATTTAATGCAGTCATTCCATTAATCAAGTAGCTGACGATCTAAGGAAATGTAGTTTAGCCTTCATTGAAATGTGTGAGTAATACAATTTTTATTTTTAATATTCTCATATGCTAGCCTGTGTATTTCATTCTGCATAGAAAGTTCTATTCTCTTGTTTAGGTAATTCTGTTAAAAAACTGAACAAACTCTTTCAGTGCTTTGGCTGAATTGGAACAGACACTATTTAAAAGTTAGGAATCTTGTTACTGCTTTCTGGCAGTGACCTGACACTTGAAAGCCCAATCTCTCCTTCCAGTAGCGGGAATGAAATACAAGAAAAAAGAAAAATCAGCTGAAGTTGGATTTACCCTACAGGTACATCAGGAGTCAGAACTCAAGAACGTCTCTGCTTGGCCTAACAGAAAATAAATTAGAAAGTTGCATGTAACATGAAAAATGTAGTAAAAATATGTTCTTTTTGGCTATGAGGAATGAATATTTTTGTCCCTGCTCACCATAGCTAATATGTCCCATACTGGCTCACAGCTTATCCCCTTACACATGGCAGTTCAGCAGGTTTCACATTTATATTCTATAAAGATGAATTTTATTGACCTTGCTGAGCCAGGAGTACTCATTTCAATACTTTCTGGCTGAATGAGGTAGCAAAAGTCTAAACCAAGACCAGAGCAAGGAAAATGTCTTCTGAAATTTTGATTTATTCAACTGACACAAATTTTTGCATGGATCAAAGCATAAAAATTATGTATCTCTTAAAAAGTAGATACACATGGATTTTTAAATTTATGGGGGAAGAACTGAGGATGTTTCAAATCTGCAGCAGTAGCTCGAGAGTGTATGGTTCAGGTTATTACTCTGTTACCTACTTACAAAAGATATCCTATAGCCCCACTTCAGACTTAGGAAGAAGGATCTATTTTACTATAGCAATCAGGTTGTTTTGTTTTGATGATAGCAACAACAAGTATATGGTTTCGTCATCAATTTGTATCTTCCTTTTCCCTTCCCACTGGTTTCAAGTCACTTTTCAATCTTTTAAACTGCTCTCTTCTGTCTCTGTTTTTTTACACACTTTAAAAGCTATTATTTTTTGTCCTAGTATCAGAAGGCCTGATCCTTACTTTTATGTTTTACAGACATTAATATCCTAAGCATGCATGTTATACAAACATGATGATCACTAATAAAGTACAATAATACGGAAAATAACTAACATTTACCACACTGGTTTCTAAATAATTCCCATAGTTCATTACAAAGAGATAGACAGAATATCATATAACTTTAGGGGTATATAGAAGTTTTGAAACTTCCTTGTGAAGTTGCATTCTGTGACTATTGCAACACAAGTAATATTGCACTATGGTGTGATGTAAGCTAGATGATTTCTGCATTTCAGTTTTAATCACTGTGTAATCAGTTGAAGTTAGTGGAAGACAAGACCAGAAATCATTTGAGAATACACTGGTTTAGGTGAGAGTTTAAGTGGGGTTCAGCCACTGGACCACAATTGTAGGTAGTTTCCTGTTTGATGCTTTGCAATATTTAACTTCCAGAAATACCTTGTCTGTGGGGAGAGAGAAAAAAAAAATCGTAGAAGTTTTGTAAAAACAGAACTAGCCGTCCCGAGTGTATTACATTCACTAAATTTGAAAAACCATTTGAAAGATAATACAAAGTAAAAACTATTTGGCAAAACTCTTTCACTTCGTGCAGTAACATCATTTATTCATACTGTTTTTCTTCCATTATTTTCTTCCTTTTGTTCTCAAATGGAAGTAAAAAATCAAATGTATTTCTATTATCTTTTCATGATTCAGCTCCTCATCTTATGAATATACCAACTGCATTAAATGTTATTCACATTGGTGCTTTAACTTAAATGCTTGAAGCTCAAAATATCAAATAAATTCTCAGCTGCCTGCCCAGTGCAGTGATTTTTCCAGAGCTGACTTTAGTGCCACCACAGTAGGTATTCATTCTCAGCTGAAAGTGAAGGAGTAAGCCTTTTTTCATCCTGAGTTAGACAGGTTGCCTTTGTAGAGAAGTAGGTGGTTAGTTTTCTGTAAGCTTTTATGGCAGGATAAAGAAATGGATCGTAGCACTATCCTCATTTTATTTTTTTGAAGCTTTCAACCAAAACCCTCGAGAATTTTGTCAGGCATTAGCAGTGGCATCACTCTGTTCCTTCAAGTTTAGATATTTACAAAACATGTTTTTTTCTCTTCTGTTTTTAGCACAAGAAGAATGGGCTACAACCCGTTCCAGCCTAAAGGCGCCACCTCCAAGGTCAGCCAGAGGGGGTTACAGGGAACACCCCTATGGTAGATATTGAAGGTCCTCCTCATCTGTGACCTCATCTCAAAGACAATTATTAGCCTGTGGTCTTCACATAAGCAGCGACAAGACAAGTAATAGTCCATTTCTTTTCTATCCTAGGGATTACTGCTCATTATTATCCTATGTACTACTTGTATTTCCTATAACATTGGAGTGACATTGACATTAGTATTATTTTATAACACGGACTTAAAAAAACAGAGACAAAAAACGTTTGGCAAGCATTGTCTATAAACCATTCAAAGATGATGTTCTGTTGGTTGTATTCATTGCTGTGTGTAACTTAAAAAGCATGACACTGTTACAGATCTTGAGTCTCTACATACTAGCTGAGTTTTTGTTTAGGGTTGCTGAAAGACTGTAATATGATTCTTCCCCCCCCCCCCTTTTTTTTTTTGAACCAGACAATAATCAAGCTGTAGATAAGATGTTTCAACCTGTCTTCTTTAATATATGTTAGTTTAGATTAAGATGTTCAATATTAAGTTTGTAAATTTAATTTTAAATGCTGTTTTAATGGGGTTGAAAACAAGCAGCTACTGTATGTATGTAGCTAACTGAATTTGTTCAGTGTTTTAACCTGTATTTGTTAAAAAAGATCACATAAAGTTCCATGTGTAAGCTTCTCTAAATAGGAAACCATAATTTTGTCAAATATGTTTGCCATAATTTGTCAATAAAGCTGAAACCTTTTGTAACAAACTAAAATTGGAATTACTTGTTTTCTAGCTCTAAATGCCTGCTTTATTTCTTTTTCAAGAGATGCCTAAAATGTTTTTTATATAAAAATTACAAAAATGAACCCAAGCCTGTTTTAAGATTTTTTGTGTAAGACTTTAAAAGTTGTATTAATAACTTCTGGTTGTTAAATAATTTAAAAGTTAACAAACTAAACTGTTACATGAATCATGGTTAGTATCCACTAATGTATAACATGTTAATGGAAAAAAATGCTTTAGAACAATAAATGGATTTTAAACTATCCTCTAAGCTTGATCTTGCTAAACACAAACTCTGATTGACTTGTTTGTATTAGCATGTCTCTCGTGAGAATGTAATGGAGTTTAAAGAGGTAAGATTACCACTTACCACTGTTAGACTGTCTAAATGCTAGTTCTTCAACCTTTGAGTTTCCCCGCACATTAAATATCCCATTCAACATGTAAGCATTGCATAGATTCACCTATTTGTTTTCACTCAGAAGAGTGCGTTGACTGCATTTTTCGTAGTATATAGCAATTTGTCTTGATAAACAAATCATCAGTGTCACTGCCCAGTTGTTGGTACTCAACTTCAAAAACTTTATTTGTAATTTTCAGTGCTAAATATCACCGCCCTTGAAGGCAGTTTAGAGGGCTGATATTTCTTTTGAGACTATCAGACTTGATGGCTGATGATTATTAAGGAAATATGTCGCAGGACTCAAAGGATGACTAAACGTTAAACAGGTAACACTAATAGTAACTCTGTAATTTTGAGTATGCAACAGTAATGTTAAATATTCTCAGTTATTAATTTACTGATAGTTAAAAAAGTAAACCTACCAAAAGATAACAAATAGGTATATAGGCTATTAAAACAACTAATTAACATTAACTAGTGACAACAAAATTATTCTACAATATATAACCCTCAAGGTAATAAACAGAACTAAAATTAACAATAATAGTAATGCAACTCTCGCTAACAACAAATATATAACCTAAATTTTGATGAAGAAAAAAAAAAAACAACCAACCAAACATAGAAGACTTGATGGTAGGGTTGCCAAAACTGTTATTCCTTTAAATACAGTCTTTTTGTTTACAGTGGCTTTTTGTCAATGTGATTGGTTTACTTTTTTGATGAGACTAAAGTAGAGGCCTATTGCTGTTCAGTTTGTGAACAAAATCTCTTGCAGCTGGAGTTGCATGCTAGCTCTTTTTACAGTTTATAAAGCGTATCTTTTGTTATCTGACGTGTGAAAATGAATTTAGTAGGCTACATGATGGTTACATTGAGTTTATTCTGTCTCACTATTTCAGGGACTCACCCGCACTGGACAGCTAAGCAGCAGATCTGCTGAGAAGTGGTCAGGTAAGCTCTGTCACATCTCAGGTTTTTTTCCCGTTTCCTATTTTATCTGTGAATTTGTTTTTACTCACAAACAGAACTGTATGCAGCTAGACTTTTAAAATAAATAGTTCTTTCCCACAATACATCTCTGCATAGGAGCATAGTGATTAAGGTATAATGGCAATAAAACCATTTCCTTTTATATGGTATGATTACCTGCATGTATTTAGATAAAAGAAGTCTTCTCTGGCCTTTTAAGGATAAATATAAGATGGTATACTTTATGTATGGTATACTGCTCCTGCTAAGAACAAGAGCTGGTGTTTCTTAAGCACATGCCTACATTTTGGAAACAAACTAGTCACATGACATAAACAAATATTGTACTGGCTTATCTTTGCTTATGAGAATATTTATCACTACTTTGTATGAAAAAAAGTGTTTATAAAGAGACAAGAAGTTTGTTATTCTTGTGGCAAGGACATTAAAGGTATTATTGTGCAATGGCATGGATCGAGGCATATTTTTCTCTATTTCTCCGTTAAATACATTTAAACATAAAGTTGTATCTTGAATAACCTTCTTATATAGACTCGAGATTATATATTGATTGAAGACAAATGTCATTGCTGGAAGCATAAAAAAAAATTCAGCTCTTACATGACTTCATCTACTCACTCAGAAATGTCAACCTAATCACAATACAGAAAGTGTGAAGTTCTCTTCCTCTCTTGTGATTGTTAAATTAGGTGAAAGTTAATAAACAAAACGGATGATAAACAATTACAGACACATTTATTGTGCCTGCTTCTTTTCCATGAATGTGGTCTGGCTGATACAATGTTTTCCAGCTCTCAGTGTATTCAATGGTCACTTACAAACCACAAGTTGGGTTTTATTATGTTATAAAGTGCTTAATTTTCCTCTCCAGAGGATTGCTTCAAGACTCTTATAAACTGTGTTGATTTATGTGCTACAAAGACTCTACAGCACCAAAGTGATATAACAGGGCATTAAGATTTCTCTGCATATTAGTCACATCAGTGACTGAGTGCACTGCTACAGTAAAAAGCTTCCATCTACTCACATTGCATATAGTTATACAAATGTGCTTCAGTCAGTATATGTTATACTTGTACAGACCAGAAAAATACATTCCACTGTTTCATGCTGGTATAACTGTGATTATAAATCATTATACATTATAGAGTTTAGTATATGAGTGCTTCAGGAAATGCTCCTATGCCTTACTGAAACGGTTAATTGCACAAAACTGAGCAGGTCCTACCTGATGTAGGTGAGATCCAGGGCAAAGTACATAAATTTAATTTCTCACTTGTGCATCAGATTTTTGTGTGAGAGTAACTAGTGTGAACTCTCTGAGAATGGTCTCCAGTAAATACAGCTTTACCACAGAGTGTGTCCGTTAATGTTATTGTCTCAAAATCCACCTTAAAGTCATTACTTTTATAGGTTAAAAAAAAATCTCTATATATCAGTAAAATGATGCATTGTGAAATAGACAATAATTATTTAGAAAAAGCAGGTTAATAAGTCAGTGCAAGCAACTGTTTATTCAAACATTTGTTCTATTGATTTTCAGGAAATCAGTGTGAAAAATTACCCATCACTGCATGTGCTGTTCTGTGCTAACTACATATTTTACACCAGTTTCTGAAGAACTCTTGCAGTTATTCAGCTATGTCCTAACAAAAAAATCCACTTCCTTAATCTGCGAAAGAGTAACAAGAGTCTGTTTATTCTAGTTAACAGTCATCTTTAAATCTTCCGTGAAAAGCTCCCCACATCCATCAGTTCAGGTCAGTCATAATTCTGAGGTCCTGAAAACTAGTATAAAATATAAAAAGAATGAGTAAGAACAGTTTGATTTTTAAAAGAAAACGATGGTCAAACAATGCAGATTCCAAAAAGTGTTTGTTATGAATAGAATCAATGAGCCAGTTTTGAAACTGATGGTTTCTGGAGGTGGGTTGTGCAACATTTGACAGCCCACGTTGTTGAAATGGTGATTGGATAGTGGAGTGGATGGCATAGCAACAGAATCTATAGCTTTATATGTCGTACTGACACAGCTTCTTCACTTGCTGGAAATTTAGTCTGAGAGGAGGGGCCACTTTTCTCTTTCCAGCTAGAAGCAGAGTAGGAAGAAAGCTCCAAGGTGCTGAAGGCATTGTCACCTGCTGGAGCAGAACCCCCAGGGCTGCATCACCAGGGACAAGCTTCTGGAAAACAGATGAGGAAAAATGCATTACTTCTCTGGTTTGTCTAGCAGACTTGTTGCATGTGTTCAAGAGCCATTCTAACTGTAAAAAATAGATATCCCTAGAGTAGGAACCTTTATCAGAAAATGAATTATATAACTATTTCCTTCCTATACAGTTTAACTTGCACTGTTTAAACAAGAAGGTCTTAAATTTTCAAATGAATAAATGAAGAACCTGAGGAAGGTTCTGAGGAGGTTTGACCTCACCTCAAATGATATTGACAATGTTTTTCTGGCTCAATGAGGTCCTCAACCTTCATTCAGAATAACAGAGCCATAAAGTTGGAGATAATCCTTACTGCATATGCCCCATTCAGTCTATAACACAGTAATAATTACTCCATTATACTTGAACATGTTCTGACTTCTAAACCAAGGAACACTGATGTTAGTGAAAGTGAGTGAGTGCATGTAAAAGAGATCAGTGTGTCTGTGGTAGCTCTAAAAGATGTGAAGACCTGGTTACTAAGCATGGCAGGCTGGAAGAGTCTGTGTCTCCTTATTGCTAGGGAGCTGCCAGACTACAGCCAGCACTGTGACAATGAACTGAGTATCTGGAATAAGCAACCAACATACCATTAAAATCAGGATTGCGAACATATATGATATGCATCAGTTAAACACATACGACTGTATCAGTTAAAAGGCTTAACGTTTTGTCATGATAGTATGGATTTACTTCAGGAAATAGCTCAAAAGTGCAAGAAGATTAAGTAGCTTGAGAAAAATGTTCATAGTCAGAATCATAGAAGAGGTTGTAAATTCATCCTATTTGACCAGGAACTCACTTATCCCAATACCAGGACACATACATTTTTTTTGGTTCAGAAGGACAGAGTTCATTTGTAGAGGCATTTTATTGAGGTAGGAATAAAAAAAAATATTACTTAGAGGTCATAACGTTTGTACAAAAGAAGAAAGGATGGCCGTAATTAAAGATAAGTCAAAAGAATGATCATCATGTTTGTTGCTATTTCACGTCACCTCTGTTATCAACAGATGAACCAAAGTGCAAAAAGAACCCCAATTAATAAGTAAAATTACAGGAAAAACTGAAAAAATATTTGTATGCTAAACAGAAAACCAAGTCTAATGGTTTTTGCTTTCCATTAGAAACTTCAATGCACTCTGTGACCTCAGTCAGTTATTAGAACCCAAGAGTTATCAAAAAAAAAGTATACATTATCCATTTTACTGTATTGGTCTGTGGAGCCAGAACAGGCACACAGGTAACTTTCTCAGATCAATTACAGCTTCAGAGATGATCACCATCTTCCGCTCTGTTGTTAGCTAATTACATTTTTCTAGTTGTTATTATTGCTGATTGGGACCTGACTGAAACCTTTGAAATCATTAAGCCCTTCCTTTTTCTTCGGTTGATTTTGTTTCTGGTCCATAGGTTAGATGTTAACATTCATGTAGAGATGTTAAGGAAAATGACTCCCACTGAAAGATTTGCTGGTCTGTGTGGTTAATAGACAAATGAGCTTTGCTCATGAATATGCTGATATCTTTATGTGAAGACATGCTATATGCAGTATTTATTTTCTGAAACAGTGGAATTTAAAAACTGTGGCTCCCAGGAGGAGTACAGGAAAGATTTTCTGTCCTTTCACAGTCTCTGGTTGTGTAAGTAATTTATATTATAACTCAGGAAAACATTTTAAAATGGTTAAAATACACCTCTAAATCATGCTTATCTGGAACAAAGTTTTTACTCTCAAACAGAAGCAATCTCTGTCAATCTAAGCATTAGAAATGCAGATTTCTAAATTTCTACTAGAAACATGTCACTGTTTTAAATGTTTGTTCTCCTGACATAAACAGTATTGCAGGACTGTGTTTAATATTTACTGAAAGACATAAGTGCCTCCTTTCCTAAAATAATTGAATTAACACTGAAAGCTAGGATGCTTTACCAGAGAATAGCAAGATTTATTGAGAAAGCTATTTCAGGCTTTTATATTTCAAATCTGTAAATCAGAAGGAAGGTTTATTGGAGGAAGATCACACGCGTGCTGTAATAGTATAACTCATCATTCACATATTAAAAGAAAAAAAAAAACAGAAAGAAAAAGCTGTGTAGTTGATTTTGTAAATCCTGCATATGCCCAAAGAATTTTTCAACATGCTGAATAAAAATGAGCAGAACTTTCTGGTATCTTTTAGCAACATTTTGGTGCATGCGTAGGATAGTGGAAATCCTTGAGTGCCCTGATAAGAGCAGAATTCATTCTGAAAACAGTGTTCCTTGTTTCTTTGTTTTGCTGCTGTACTCTTGATTTAATTGAGGTATAGTTTCTTATTATACAGTGTTATTATAAAGCGTGAGAGTACCTTTTTATATCATGTCTGGCATTGTTCTTGCCATGCTGGATGCATTAGCTGATGATGAATGGGTTGCTCACAGGAATACAGTGAATACTTTTGTTATATGCCCTTGCATTACAGGACCTTCACACTATGTTACCATTAGCAAGTCAGAGGTGCAAACTGCTGAGTTGCTCATTTATGACTCCTGGTTTGTTTTTTTCTTCTTTGCTTCTGCACAGTAAACAGAACAAAATGTACGGGTACTTTATACTGTGATTTACTGTATTCACTTACGACTCCATGTTCATTGCTCAGCTAATAACTCATTATATTTGTTCTTGAACTTTGTAACAATCCTGTGCAAACACTGGCAAAAGTCAGTGGAAAGGTCTTTTTCTTTTTTTTTTTATTTCCCCTTTTTTTTTTTTTTTTCATCTCTTTTCCCAGAGGATCATAATTGTTCATATACCTAATCTAGCTGAAAAGACAATCAAGGACACTCTTATTCAAATAAAATACTGCTATTCTCTGCTAATACAGAACTTCAGCTTAGTATTCTCTGAGTATTTAAATGTGATAGGGTTCTTCTCATTCTGCATGGTATTTGAGCATTATATAGCTTTTTAATATCTCTGTTAGAATCATGATGTAAAGATACAAACAGCAGACAGGAATGCTCTGTTCCATTGGATTTCAGTTAAGCAAAGTAGCTTTTTGATGGAGAACTCAGTCCTGCAGATCTTACTCAGATTTCATTCACTAAAAATCCATGCTGACATCAAGGAATGAAAAGGAAATATAAAGTTCAGAATTTGATCTGCAGTTATTTTTATAATTCCAACTTCAAGCAAAACACATATCTGTTCAGGACTGGATGATGTCATTCCAGACAATGTTCTGCCTATGGGCAGTGTGAAATAACCTTGACTTAGGACGAGTACTTTAGTTGTGCTACCATCAAAACTAATTTTGCCATGTGAAAGAAAAATACTTAGTGGAAGGTACTTGCTTAGGAATGTCACTCATTCTAAATCTCAACTTAGCACCCAAGTTCGTCCATTTATGGTACTAACCACTTTGTTTTCGTGGAGTGAGGACTAACAAATAACTTTCTGAAGGAGGAGCAATACTTTTCTTTTTTCTTTACATAGTCTTTAATGACAGATTACTCGTCTTGTTTGCAGGTCTAAGGCAAAAATGGGCTGCCCACTAGACTCTGTGAAGGCCTGTGGGATAGGTCTTTCAGGGAATCTATTGCTCATTTAAAAGAAAGATAGCCGTCTGTTGTTCTAAGACCAAGAATACTGCGTAGGTCTTAAAAAGCTTGAATAGCATCTACAGAACTTAAAAAAAGTTCCTGCATAGAGCTCAAAATGCTTATTGAAGGAAGCAGGTATTTTAATCTCTTTGTAATGGAGAATTAGAAAAACAGTGTAGCTGAGTGATTTGGGAAAGGACACTCAGCAGGTTGAAGAGACATAATAAAGTGCAATTAGCAAAACAGGAGGCAACAGTAAGAATTTGCATCAGGAAATGAAACACAGGATGTATTCAGACCTGTAATTTGTTTTGAGAGCTGAACTCTTATCCATGGTGCAGGTATACTATCCTCACTTGAATTCTGCTGGACTTTACTCGGCAACTGGGTGAAGCAGCTACACTAACATGGCCATGTAGTGAGCGTACGTACGATTACAAAACTTACATTGAAAAAGCCTGTTACTGTTTTCTTTTGCATTTGTATTATAGCTGTATTTTTCTATGGCTGCATCACCTGTTGGCATTGTAAGTTTCCTATGCTGTATATCTTTGATGAACAAGAAATACATCTCTGAACACTGATAAGGGCTGGAGAATGCTAGTAATACCCAATGTCTTTACCATAGCGCTGAGTACAATAGGACTGAATCCTAAAGTCCTAAATATTTTTAAACTTTACAGAGCTGACAATTCCAGAAATAACAGAAGTTCTATTTTAGACCACTTTAGTAATAATTTTAGACTCACAGTTGTTTGGGTTTTTTCTACTTTGGAGTCTGCTTAGCCAGGCTAATGGAAATAAGACACCAGGCTTTGTAATACATATTCAACCAAAAATAACCTTAAGGATATAATTAAGCATTTAGAAAATGGGTTTGCATTTTTAATATAAAGTAATTTTTATGCCATGTTCTTCATCTGGACTTAATTTGATGACTCATTCTCCTTCACAGCTCTCTCAGAAAAAATACAAAACTCAAAAATAAGCTATACAACTTCCACCTGTCATGCTTCCATTTCTCTTTCATTTTGTTAGTGTACTATTGGCAGGGCTGGTAATACTGTCTACCATTACCATCACCAGTACTTTCTATAAATGCAGCTGTGTCCACCTTAAATTTTCCATGATAGGAGTCTGCTCAGTCCAAGGATTTTGGCCAAAATGCCAAACAGTTCAGAAAAAATACATGTCAAACCATGTTTCTGTCCTGACCAGTGTCTTTTTTCAGTCAGATGCAGAGATAGATGCTTGGGGTGCATGGTGGAGGGGTCAGAAGAAATACATAGAGCAAGTAGAAGCTCTATGTATCTATATTAGCAAATTAAACAACACCAGAATGATCTATATCAGACTTGTTTTCCCAGTGCCAGTTAACTCCACTGTCTTGCCTAATATGGTAATGTACTATTGTAGACAGCTGTGGTAATTACTATCATAGTACAGGAGCAATTCTCATAAGGGTCCCAAAAATTATGTTTTGATGCTTTCATGAAAATCTGTTTGTTTTGGAGAATATCGTCAGACATCCAAAATGTTGACTCTTGCTGACTCAGTAAACTTGCTCAGATCTATACAAAAATGTCTATATTCCCACTGATCAGAGTCATTTTCCGCTATGTGAAGTTACCTCAGTGTATGGAAAATAATTCAGAGTACCTAAGCCAGATACTCTAAAACACTGTCTGCGTATACCTTCTCTCCATTGGCTGGGTAAGGAAACTAGCTAACTAATGCATAAAAAAAAAAAAAATAATAATCCCTCCCTCTTTAGCCTAAACTTTAAAATTATTTCTTAATCCATTGCTTTTAATAAGAATTTATTTTAATTACTTTGTCATAGGCTTGATTATGTTAATATTATCAAGAAATGAAACACAACTCCAGCTCAACCTCTTCTCACAAGTTCCCATTCTCATCCATACCAGCACTCAGAATTTGCTCATGCTGAATATAATTACTCTGCTGTATTATCTGCATGAAGAGTGTTGGTGTTCATAAAATTCAGTGCAACAAACCTCCTTTTTTCTTACACTGATAAAAGCATACTCGTACTACTGTGCATAGACCATAAGCCTTCATTTTAAGTAGAAAATTGCAGGTGGAGAAAAGGTATTGAAGGGAGCTCTTCATAAATTTGTAGCATTATAATAAGATGTTAAATGAGAAAGCTGAGATAAAATTACATTACTGAAGTTATACAGTAAATTTGCCCAAAAAAGTTCAGAAAGTTAAAAACTAGAAATGTCAGTATTTAGTTTATTCCTTTTCTTCATTTTTGCTCTGTTGTGTACATTCATTATTTTAGAGATCTTTAAAAACTTTTCTGTCATTTAGACTAACCCTGTGACACAGGGATGCTGTGTGAATCTACATAAATCATTTAAGCTAAAATATTAATGTGACAACTAATTCTGTGTTCTTCATTGAATATGTCTGCCCAACTTTGTCTTGATTTTCAGCTTTTTGGAGCCTTAGGGAAGTACTGTAGCTTTTGAACGCTGTTCAGGGAATTGAGAGTGTTCGACATCATTTGCAATAAATCAGTGGGATCTGAAAGACTGTGCCTCAGGTTGGAACTCACAGCTCCAAGTTCTGGACCTGCCACTACCACCCTCTTCAGGAAATGCCAGCACTGAGAGTTACGGTGATCTTCCAGTGTATCAGGTGAGCTGTCATATTTGTCTGTATGTTTTTATTTTATGTCAAATGTGAGATAAGTCAGTTTACCTTAGTCTGAAAAAATACTATTTTTAAACTGGTTCACCTTAAGTTTGTCATTGGAAGAGAGCTCATACACTAATACCTATTATGCATGATACTTTGAGACAGGATAATTTATGTATAATATATATGTATCATTTTTATATAGCACATAATTTCTTATGCTCTCTGTGGTAATGAAATATAATATTTAATCATCTTGCTCACAGAAGTGACATATAAATAATCAAACTATATTTGTGCAATCTGTTGAACATAGAAATAGTTTTTTTAAATGCAAATATTTGGAGTAATCAACTTCCCTTGGAATGAGTTAACTCATTGAGATGCTTAGGTTAAAAATAAATTTTGCAGCTTCTGGGGTTTTTGCTCTATTCTCCATTTGTTCATCTAGAAAAATCTTAGTATCTTCATGAGCTGTTGTGAACATACACTTGCTAATATACATAAGGTTCAGTTACTGTAGCATAGTTGCTGCAAACTATAGACAATGAAAACCTGTACAAAAGTAAATATATCTACAGCAGTGGGTGTTTGCCTGGAAAACAGTAAACAAAAAAGGGTCACACCACTGTTGTTTAAGACCAGATACAAATATTTAATTCAATCTCATCCAGAATGAGTTGGGTCTTGTGGAGAGAAGGGTAGCAAGGGGTCCTGTAACTAAAGGCTATGTCTTCTTGTATATACTAAAGGACATCATCTAATTATATTAGAAAGTATAAATCTAATATTTCCTGAATCATCTAAGCTAAATTGTAGAATGGTTTGGGTTGGAAGAGACCTTAAAGATCTTTAGAAACTTTAAAGAATGTATATGGAAGTTGTATTTTTCTGTAATAAGCTTAAAAGATCCTTAAAAAGATCTTTAATAATCTTCAGTAATAAGCATTAAAGGAACTTAGAAATCTTAACATATGTGAAAGCTTTATTTTTCTGTAATAAGCTTTTTTATAGCAATATGTCTTATAATAATGCAGTTATTGCATTTAGTGATTATAAATGAGCTTGTTTCTTTAGTAAACAGCATGGGAAAAAAAAAAGACCATTTTCAGTTTTTGCGGATGATAGCTATCAACACCCCAAAGGTTTCAGCTAGCTGCCGAAAGCATTATCAATAACTAATGCAGAATTACTCTGCAACTGCACTGGCAGATTATGTGCAGTGGCATCACAAATACCTGCATCAATTCTGTATACACCATCACTTCCCATACCTCTGGTACAGCCACAGTCCTGCCTTTACTCCTTCTAACTGTACACCAGAAAGCAGACCTGAAGCTTAGTCTCCTGCACTGCAAAACATCATGAAGTCCTCTTAGAGTACTCCATTCCTTGTCATTGCATGTTCTGAAAGTGATGACATTTTTCTGTTCATGCTATTTTTCAGTTTGCTTTCTGCAAATGGCAATCAAAATTTGAACTATGCCTTGCTTTAGGTGTAGATTTTTCTCTCCAAAAAGCTCAAAGAATGTGGCCAAAAGCTATTCAAAGTAACCCATCTCTAGACTTGAGAAAATAATCAGTATAGTTTTCAAGATCCCGTCTCCTAGTCAGACCTGGAAATAAACCCTAGGTCATATTATGCGCACTCCAGTTTTAAGTAAGTAGTCTGTGAGTGAGATTATGAAATGGGTGAAAATATGTAGGGTTTTTAAGGGTTTACTTACATTATGGTTAAGTGTGTTAATGCTTTGCAACTAGTAATCTAGGGACCTTAGAAATCTTTTCCACATTATAGCACTGTGGAATAAGAAGACTGATGCCTCGATTGTTAGTTGTGGTTTCCACATAGCAAATGGAAGGGGGAAGCTGTTTACATCACACAGAATGCTACTCATCAGAACCAAAATACCTTTACTTATATCCCAGTCTCCTAAACATTGGACTACATTTCCTGAAAAGGCTTAAAAGAGAGACTTGGAAGTAGGTGATCATTTTCACTCTTTGCCTAAAGAAAATGATTTAATGTTCGTGGAAACTCAGAGGAGTGATTCCTTTTGGCTTTATAACTTCAGGTTTTAATAAGTGAAAAAGTTTTCCAGGAGGGTGGAAGACCCTACTTATCTTTCTAGAAGATGAACAGAAATCTGCAGAAGAAGAAAGGGAATTCTAATTTTTCCCCATCTTGAACAATCCAGAACTTCATACTAAAATACCAAGGTTCATCTCTTCCATGACTTCCTTTGCATTTTCTGACTTTGTTTTTCGGCTGTATAGGTATATATGTGTGTGTTTGTGTACATATCCTCAATTCAGGTCCGAAAGGAAAGGCAGTTTAGCCTCTTTTCAGGTATGTGTCAAAAATTAAATTGTGTACAGTTAAGGGAACACAAGGTTCGACACATATGCTTGTCCTTGGAGTTTGAGGTAAGCCTGTTCTGTGCCCAGTGCTCTGTTGTGGAGCAAGAGGTTGAAAAGTGGGCATAGAGAAGCACAGTCCAATGCACAAGAGCTTTGCTGTAATGGAACAGGCCATTCAAGGCCTTCACTTTGAGCTCCCCATGTGCAGCATTCACCTCAAGGAACTGGGACTATGGGGTTTCCCAGAAGTGGACTTTCTGTACTTCTGTAACTGTCTTTGCTAATTCTTTTCTCTGGTGGCTTTGTTGTTGCATTGCTTGTTTATGGAAGAAATGGGATTTGCTTAGGAGAGGAATATTCTGTTGATAACCCTCAACATTTTCAAAAGATAAAATAGAAATGCCCATTTTTAGTTGAGCAATGAAAACATACTTTTGTTTTCAGAAGTGCTGAAAGACTGCAGCTTTCACTAGCCTTAACTTAAAGTTCTCAAAAATCAAGTGTCATCACTGGCACACAATAAGATCTAAATATCCTCATCCAGAACACCTTTTTTGAACTTCTTGTCTTGCATCTTTATACAAACACTGTGGAAATTAACATAGTACAGACTTTGAGACAGCCAGCTGGTGTTAATGAAAGCCAGAGAAGTATTGAAGATGCATATATTACACTAATATTTCACTAATAGCTTGAATTGCAGCTGAAGTGAGCCTACTTTATTTTTCTAAAAGCATCCCTAATGACTGGGATATGTTGATGTACTCATGCACTACAGCAATGATCTATGAAAACAGGTAAGTAAATAAGATAAATCGTATAAGTATATGCATTTTTCTAGAGGTAGGTAGAATTAAATGTTGGAGAATATTCAGCCTGAGGCTAATAGATACAAGACACTGTGAACCGTACTAGTAATGAATACATTAAGCTGTTAGTTAATCGTAAGTGCTACTGGTGAGTTCTGTAGCTACATCTGTAACCGCTCTGCAGCATGTAGGTTTGGGTGACTAAGCTACCCTTATAACACTGATACAGAGATAATTGTTTAGTTAGTACTGAATCTAGCCATTAGGCTGTGTTGTGAACTCTCTTCTCTCAAAGTCAAATACTATTTTTAGCTTTTATTGACCTGACCAGCTGGCTTCACTCAGCATTTGTTTCCTGTCAAATGCACTTCTCCCCCTCTAAGTCTAAATTGACTGTCCAAAAAAGTTGTAGTCTCCAGACATGAAATGGAATTTTATTACTGAGGTTCACAGTGCAAATCATTGGAAGTTACATAATAATGTGAAGGGACATTTGGTTGAAAGGCTGTCAGAAGATAAAAGTGTATCAAGCTTTCCAGAGCGTTCACATTGCAACTCATGGAGTTAGATGACATTGAAAAGAGCAATTCAGTGTTTAATGCATGCACCTCTGGTGACTGTGCTTTTCCACAGCACTAGCTGTTGAAGTATCAATAATAAAGTCTGTAGCATAGAATTTAATACAGGAGTTTTCCATTAAAGGGGTTAGCTGTTGCAGTTCATAGTAACTTTCTTTCTAGCTCAGCTTAACCTGCTGAGGACACAGTACTTCGTCCTTGAGTAGGCAGGATTGCATTCATCTTACTCTTCCCACTGGAGCAGAGAAAAAGTAAAGTATGGGTACATATGGAGCAATGCACAACAAGTGAATACCTGCAACACAGGAATGTATTATTATTGCATTTATTTTTTTTAAATGTCAACCCATATTACATGAGAAATAAAAGCAAGTCTGTAACCGTCCTGAAATTCTCCTAAGTATGCAATAACACCATAAAAGATGCCTGTATTACTACTAATAATAAAACTGTAGCATTACACTAATCAAATTCAGCTGCATAATTTTCAGTGAAGAGGTGCTTATGAAACACAAAATGAACTCCAGAATGGAAGGTTCATTGCTTCCTAATCAAAAGCAGTCAGCTTTAAACACTAGCCAGTCAGGTGATAAGTTTGTCATTTCTCAGCTGGGCTCATGGAGGGAAGTTGCCAAACAGGTTTGACAGCCTTTAAACTTTGCAGAGCATTTTCTGCCTGTTTCTGAAAGTCATGTTGATCTACAAAACTCCTGAGAGGCTGGGAGGAGAGGCAGAGTAACAGCAGTGCTATTAAAATGTGTTTGCAGCAATGAATGTCAATCAGAGTTTGTGGTGTAAAAAAATGTGTAGTTCCTTAAAGGAAATTTTCACCACCCCTCAAGTCTGGTTCTTCCTTGTGTGTGTCCCGCTACTTTGGGGGACTGAGGAGTGTCAGTGATTCATTGCCTAGGTGTCAGAGAAGTGCAGGCATGCAATACGCCATTAAAAGCCAGAGATCAGGGTGTATGAATTAAAATGGGAGGCTCTGAATGAATATATTATTGCTATACACAAATAACAGTACAAGCCAGAAATCATTTACTTTCATAATTTAGGACAATGGCAGCTGTCCAAAGAAAACGTATTTACAGTAGTATTACATTGCTTTCTACAGGCTTAGTACAAAAGGGAGAGACAAAAATTAATATGTACCAAGGCAATAATAGAGAAACCTGTCTTTGAACTGTTCTTTCCTTTTAATCAGCATGAGCTCTGCTAAATAGGGGAGAGAATTATGAGTAGGTGGAGAGAACCTGTGTTACTGAGGGCAAATCACTGTCAGGGGAATAACTGAAATTTGAGCAACAGAATCTGTCCTTTGCATGACTTGGGATGAACAGTCTTCTCTGTTTTAACCCAGCATGAACACCAGTTGCAAAGCAACCAGCCTGAAGATGCTCAATCATCTTCCCCTATGCGAAGGCGGGATTTCTCCTCCTTTGGCAATTATACCATTGTCCTGGAACAATTCTCTAATGTTGACTATGTTCTTCTATTTCACATCCTCAAGTGTGGGACCTTACAGAATTTTAGTAATTTTTTGTATTGGTTGAAGTCCCATTAAGCTTCTGAGGTTCTTAAATTGTTTCTTGGAGCTTTTTATCTTGTAACTTGGGTTATAAAAGTGGCACCATAAACATTAATTGAACAGCCATTGAGCAGTATGGCTGTTTGTTTTAGGTTGGTAGAGGACATAAAGCGTCATACCCTGTGGTGGAAAACAATTAAATCTGATGATGAACATGCTATTAAATATACCATTACCAGACTTCTATGAGTTTAACTTTAGAAAATAGCAAGCAGCTGTAGCCAAAGAATGCATAAGTGATAGAAAGTCATATTTTAATTGTCATGTCATAGCCTGTTATAAATATTGTTGTTTCTAATGTATTATGCTAATGACAGTGACTAATGGTAGTCATTACCTCCATTCATTCTCATAAAAACTTTCCTCAAGAGAGGATGATCATAACTAGAATGCTGTTTAAAATTAAACTGTGTTTTTCTAAAATAGGGGACATAAAAGCCATTTAAATACCAAGAGGTTGAATAGCTAATTTGTATTGGTTTGAGTATGTTTGACAACTACAGCTGTTGTTAATTGTGCCATGAGTTTAACAGATAGTCCTTTTAGAAATGTTTTTGGCAATCTAACATGTATATACATGTCATGTCTTTGTATTGTCTCTGCAAGGTGGAATAAAAGGTGAACCTCGCAGCGAGATACCTGTGACCAGAAAAAAAAAGTCTGATGCCCCCCCTGTAGAGCCTTAATATTAAGAACATTGAATTTCCTCATCCATTTCTTATTTCAGTTATGAATTCTGCTTACTTGACAGGTACAGAGTACTTTATTATGTGCATGAACAGAAATGCTTAAATGGATGAAGCAGCTATTTACGTCTGATAGGAGCTAAGTGGGACATTAAATTAATGCCAAACAAGTGAGTGCTCATTTTAGTTTCATTATAAATGGCTGCAGCACAGCAGTAATGTGTTGACTCTCATGTGCTGACAAGTTCTATATTTCTTACAAACTTCCCTTAGAGCTCGATGTAGAAAGACAAATTCACACTCTGCATGATGAAATTAGCAGCAGATGCATTAATAATTGAGTGAGGATCTCTGGAGACACTGTAGTTTAGCAGGAGAGTTGGTGACTGGCTGATTTTAAGTAGAGGCTTCTGCCCTATATGTATACGTATGCACTTACATAAGCCCCAGGTTAAGAGACACTGTCTGTATACAGCCTTTGGTATCTCTGCTTCCTGCTTTTAGAAGACATTGTCTCTTTACATTTGGCAGGTCCAAAGCAGACTGACAAACAATAATCTGGGCAGTATGTGGCCGTCCTTCCTCTATGACTGTTCTCAAACTTACAGCCAAATTCAATAACTCCCATCTAAATTTGTCTCTAGGCAATGAGTGGAGAGACTAGTCCTGTATGCAAGACTCTTGTCATAGGCTTGCACATCTGGAGTTCCTGTACAGTTCAAACATTTTCCTGAAATGCAAAACCCAGCTTCTCTCAGAAAAGCATTATATACTATACTGCCATCTTCATTTCCATCCCTGTAAGCAAAGTTGATATCCTTTGACTGAACCATATGCATTGCAGATTCTCACATTTGGGAAAGGATGGAACTTGTGTCTTTTGGGCAGTAGCAAAATAAACAAGAGGATTGACAGAAACAAAACCTCTGCTTTTTAAAGATACCACCAAGGCCACAATGCCATTCCTAACACTTACATTGTGATCATTCCTCACACCAAGTAGCATGGTTAGAAGACATTGATAAAACAGTGTGACTTCTCATATGCAGCAGTTCTGGGGTACTGGGATTTTTACTGGGGTATTTACTGGGTTAAATCCTCATGGGTTTAAAATCAACATTTCATTGCGCTGGTGCCAAGAGAGTGATTGAATTACTTCAATAGCAATTCAAATAATCTGAGAATTTGTCCCAGTTAGAAGACTAGCAAAATTTATCACACTATTAGTAGATTAGCTCCACATAGTTGTCAGCTCTGATAACTGTCCATGCAGACGTCAGCCACTGGCTTCAAGTTGCACAGGCTGAAATGACTTCTGTGTTTTGTTTTCCTCCAGCTACAGGTTATTTCATAAATCTCAGGGTCTGGAAGACAGAAAAAATAACTTCAAAATATCTATGAGTGTATTTTGTGGAGTTTCATCAGCTAAATGAAAGCCAATTCTAATCTTAGGGTTTTTTAATATATTGCAGTATTTTGAAAAAGTATAATATGATTTAATAAAGTTGTACTGTTTTTAAAACAATACTCATTGAGATAACTAAGAAGTTGAATCCCTTCTTTTTAGATATGCAACTCTATTCAATAACAGTTGATATGTTATTTATTCAGTAAGAGTTTAGTATCACTGTTGTCCTAATCAAAATATTGTATTTGAGATCTTTTTAGTATAAGAAACATTTGAACAGTTTTTGTTGTCACTTGAAATAGGAAATAAATCCCAGCAATTCATATTGGTATAATGAAGTAATGTCTCAATCTGCTAGCCACCCTGAAATATCCTGCAAGTGACTGAGCATGCTAAAAATACCCTTTTTCCAGCACCACCTCTTTTGAGGTGCTTGAAAAAAAAAAACGTGGAAATTAAATTAGACTTACATATACATTTTTGGTGGACAGAGGTAACATTTCAGAATACTATTCTTATCGAATCATAGAATCATAGAATAGTCAGGGTTGGAAAGTACCTTAAGATCATCTAGTTCCAACCCCCCTGCCATGGACAGGGACACCTCACACTAAACTATCTCATCCAAGGCTCTGTCCAACCTGGCTTTGAACACTGCCAGGGATGGAGCATTCACAACTTCCCTAGGCAGCCCATTCCAGTGCCTCACCACCCTAACAGGAAAGAACTTCCTCCTTACTTCCAATCTAAACTTCCCCTGTTTAAATTTGAACCCATTACCCCTTGTCCTACCACTACAGTCCCTAATGAAGAGTTCATCCCCAGCATCCTTGTAGGCCCCCTTCAGATACTGGAAGGCTGCTATGAGGTCTCCATGCAGCCCTCTCCAGCCTGAACAGCCCCAACTTTCTCAGCCGATCTTCATATAGGAGGTGCTCCAGTCCCCTGATCATCCTCGTGGCCCTCCTCTGGACTTGTTCCAACGGTTCCATGTCCTTTTTATGTTGAGGACACCAGAACTGTACACAATACTCCAACTGAGGTCTCACAAGAGCAGAATAAAGGGGCAGGATCACCTCCTTTGACCTGCTGGTCACACTCCTTTTGCTGCAGCCCAGGATACGGTTGGCTTTATGGGCTACGAGCACACACTGAAGCTGGCTCATGTTCATTTTCTCATCGACCAGCACCCCCAAGTCCTTCTCCACAGGGCTGCTCTGAATCTTTTCTCTGTCCAACCTGTAGCTGTGCATGGGATTGCTCCGACCCAGCTGTAGGACCTTGCACTTGTCATGGTTAAACTTCATGAGGTTGGCATCAGCCCACCCCACAAGCATGTCAAGGTCCCTCTGGATGTCATTCCTTCCCTCCAGCTTACCAACCGAACCACACAGCTTGGTGTCATTGGCAAACTTGCTGAGGGAACACTCAATCCCACTGTCCATGTCAGCGACGAAGATGTTGAACAAGACTGGTCCCAACACCGATCCCTGAGGGACACCACTCGTTACCGGTCTCCAGCCGGACATTGAGCCATTGACCGCAACTCTTTGCGTGTAGCCATCCAGCCATCAAGTTCTTCATTTGATTCAAACATGTATAACACATTTCACTTCTGTTAAAAAAAATAATGTTACCATCATCTCGTTTTTTAAGGAAAAAAATAAATAACTCAAACAAGGTTATGTACTGCTGGATGAGAAGGATATACATGAGTAACATGAACGAAAGAAAAATATCTAAACTGCATTGATGGGAATGGGGAAGTGAAGTTAACTATGTCATTAGCTATAGCTTTATGTTTCACATCTCTGTACAGTGGGTTTAATCCTCTTAACAGCTTTCCATTCATTCTGTTATTGCTGTGGAACAGGATTCTAAGTCTTCTCCAGGTTAGTCATGAATATTATGCAATCCAATAACTTTTGTCTTTTGTTAGGATATACAAGGCACAACAGAGGTGCCCCTGTTTATACTTAACTTGTGAAGTAATCACCAAATTCCACAGATGCAGGCAGTTATCACTCCTGTAGAAGCAAAGAGATATTTCTAGAGTATGAATAAAGCAATGGGTTTTATCCATTTTTTTTTTTCAGGTCCTTGGATATTCAAAACAGCAAAGCAAATTAAAAGAGACCCTTCTCTTTTGCTGTCATGGTAATTTTGCACTTAACATATGAGGATTTGTTAATATAAAAGCTATTTAGTAAGACTTGGAGTGATTTTCTTACAGGACTGTCTTCAAAAGTAGCAATAAATGTTGCATATCAAATTACAACTTTCCTTGACATGTGGCTTTGTTAAAAAAAAAAAAAAAGACATACTGAACACCAGATTTTTCTTTGGTGACTTCAATGAGTGGTAATCCACTTAAAAGTGAAAAGATGATTTTCTAATTGCCAGCCCACTAAGCTCAGAGTGAAGATCAAGTGGCTACATTTTGGTTTATGCCTCATCACTAATATTGATACTTCTTCAGGCCAGGATAGTTTTTTTACCTTGTAAGTTCAGAACCATCTCATCATCATACTTTTCCTCAGTTGCCCCTTTGTCTTATTATGTCTCTCCTGACTTGTTGTCCAGGTATTGTTTAGATGCACCACTGGAACAAGTTGGCAAGTCTGTTGGTACTCCATTTGTGTATCTGTACTTCATAGAAATTTTCAGAAGAATAAATCGTACCTTAGAATTGATACATGAAATGGGGGGGGGGGGGGGGAACAACCAACCACCTTTTTTTACATTTTTTTCTGATCTTGAACACAGCTGTGGAGAAACTGGTAAATGCTGCATCCTCCATAAGCACTCTGCTGAGCACGAGCTCTCGGAATAGCCAACACAGCTGTAGCAGAGCAAGCTGTTACAGCAGCAAATTATTGCTGCTAGAAACTGGACAGAATATCACTTCTTTCCTTGGGAGCTCTTGAGCTGGCAGGGCTAAAAATTCAACACAGTCCCAACAGAATGTATTTGATTTCTTTCTAGCTTGCCCTAAGGGCAAGGGCAAGTGTTTCCATATATTCTCTGTAAACCTTCTTTGAATTTGACAAAGCCAATGGGATGCCAAGTACATGGAGTGATCCAAGCTTTTGTATGAAATGATAACCCATCATTCATCTCAGCATCACCTCATTCTTACCAATTCATCTCAGTTCATCTTGTTCTTCTGCTGCTATTTGAGAAAATAGGACCTATTTTTCAAATATCCCATGTGAGAAGGGCAGCCTCTTCTGATCACAGAAAAGTGTATATTTACCAGCTTCTTCTGCCATGGTCTTCATGAGTTCTCTAACATGTCTTAATCCAACTAGTGTTGTCACCTTTCTTGTTTTCCTTCTGTCTTCCTGCTAGCGCATAAGATGGCTGCTGACTGTAATTAAAATGTCTGGTTTGAACGTCACTTTGCAGACGTGTCTAAAATTGAGCAATAACTTAACACATGCAGTTCCAAAGTCTTCAGTATTGAACAGTGGACCAGTCATTAAAGAAGCAGCCTTCAAGATCTCATTTAGGAGCTGACTTCCCCACTGCTAGAACAGTAAACCCAGTGTTGTCTTTCAGATACTCCTCTGAAGTATCTGAAGTGTAAGAGTCCTTCAGCTGCAGTTCCCTGTCCTTTCTTGTTACCCTTCCTTTGCTAATCACTGCTCCTGTGGAGTTAATAGGAGATTTGCATATAGATATATTAAAGTAATTTTGGTGATGGTAGGCTTTTGCAACTTAAAAATGGCAGTCTTCATGGGGAATAGGATGAATATCATA